ATTTTCTCCAAATTGAACCAATCAGTGCTATTTCAATAAGTCAATCTATACGTGATTTGTGATTGGCTGGCCTCAGTTTTTACACTGCCCACCACATTGTCCAGCAGTGAAGTATCTCAATATACTACATTGTAGGGAACCAACATGCACAGACATCGCTGCACTTCAGATGACTGAAACATACACAGAATTATGTTGATACAGTGGAAAGAAATATACGACTGCCTGGGAAATTTTCGTAAACATATAGGAATTTAGAATTATTTTTATTGCTGGCCTAATAAAAATGTTTAAACTTCCAGTAAAATAATTTTTCATTAAAAAAAAAAATCCTCCTAAGCTTTACTTATTTGCCATTATTTGTGATAGAAGTGATTAGCCATTTTCACCTTGTGCTAGCCTCCAATATCCCTTTCCAGGGAAAATTTAACAGTCAAGTTACCAAAACATATTTTTTTTTTATTATTATTATTGGTCCAGTAATTACTTCTAAACTTCATATAAAATTATTTTTTAATAAAAGAAAGATATTCAATTCATCCTGAGCTTTACTTATAGGAGACATTATAAAAGCCATTTTCACCTTTTACTAGCCTTACATTTTCAGAGAAATTTTTTAAAAACTTGTCATCCAAACCTGATTGTGCATTTTTATTGCTGGCCCAATAACTACATTTCTGCTACACTTCTTTAAACCCAGTATTTGCAGGCTAGCATGGGATAAAAATGACTATTATCCCAGTCTAAACGTCTCTCTTTGTTTAAATATCATTTGAGTCTTAAAAATATTTACTGGGACAACAATAAAAATACCCAATCAGGTCTTATGGTCATGTCTTCCTCAAAATAGGTAAAGCCTAGTGTAAGTTGAAAAAGGACTCCAGTTATATAATGAAGTAAAGCTTGGCATAAATATCTTTCTTTACAATATATATATATATATACATATATATATATATATATATATACACACATACATATTATATCTATCTCACTGGGTTTAACATAATCTACTGGACCATTAATAGAGGTTTATCCTATCAGATTTGGGTGATATGTCTTTTAAATGTTTCCAGAAAATAGTTATTTGAGGATTTGAGGCTAGCATAAGGTGAAAATGACTCCTGTCATTAATGATGCCAATTAGGTAAAGCCTAGGATAAACGTCTTTTAAGAAATATCATATAATTAGATGAAAAAAAAAAAAAAAAAAAAACAAAACACACACAGTTTACTGGACCAGCTATAAAAAAAAAAATACCCAATCTGGTCTGTGTGACATGTCTTAAAAGTTTCCAGAAAATTGTTATTTGAGGCTAGCATAAGGTGAAAATGACTCCTGTCATTAATGATGCCAATTAAGTAAAGCCTAGGATAAACGTCTTTTATGAAATATCATATAACTAAATGAAAAAAAACAAACAAAAAACAAAGCACACACACATTTTACTGGATCAGCTATTACAAAATACCCAATCTGGTCTGTGTGACATGTCTTAAAAGTTTCCAGAAAATAGTTATTTGAGGCTAGCATAAGGTGAAAATGACTCCTAGCATTAATGATGCCAATTAAGTAAAGCTTAGGATAAACGTATTTTATTAAATATCATATAACTGGAGTAAAAAAAAATTACTGGACCAGCTAGAAAAATACCCAATCAGGTATGTGTGACATATCTTACAAGTTTCCTGAAAATAGGTATTTGAGGCTAGCACAAGATGAAAATGACTCGAATCATAAATGATGCCAATTAGGTAAAGCTTAGGACAAATGTCTTTAAAAGAAATATATAACTAGAAATAACGGGAAACAAAAACACATTTACTGGACCAGCTATAAAAATACTCAATTAGTTAAGATGACGTCTGTTAAATTTTCCCTGAAAACAGATCATTGACCCCATTACAAGGTGGAAATGGCTCTTAGGTGACTCCTATCATAATGCCAATTAGGTAAAGCTTATGGTAAATATATCTATTTAAAAAAAAATGTTTTCAGATATGTAGTAAAAAAAAAGACTATAGGGTATAAATGATCCCAATTAGAAATCGTCCCCTTGATGTGAACACAGGCTCCCTGACCCTAATGTCTCCTCTCATCAGTCTAATAAAGGCCACTAGTTTAAATGGCATATGTTACTGTTTTAGGCAATTCCTCTGTCTAGGATTCAAACCGAAACTACATTCAGAGGTTCGCACGTAACGATCTCCCATGTCACCAGAGCCAGTTGTACAGTTATTAATGATTGCTGTTATTGCAGATCATTGTCTCTGAAACTGAATGATTGCTGTTATTGCAGATCATTGTCTTTGAAACTGAACCGAGGCACTGTTTGACATCTCTTCCCAGCGACATTACACGCCACCACAAACCATCTGACAATCCCGGTATTGTTCCAGGTCTCAGCAAACACATGTATTTGTAGTGCTCATCTGAAGATACCATGAAACATTTTAAATAAACATCCGGATCCCATGATCCTCATCTGCTGCAGGATTGGAGCCACACACCAGCCACAATGGCGTTTAGCTTGGGGCTGTAATGTGTGTGGGAAGGGGGGGGGGGGGTAAAACTTTTTTTTTTTTTTTTTTTTTATGAGAGGTTTTCTTTTTGATCTCTATTAAAAAACATATGTGGAGCATTAATAAGTTCCCCTAGCTGATCACTAAAAAATATGTATTGATTAATTGGTAGAAATTTCAATACAAAACAGCACCATCTGACTCCATTATTAGCAATCAGATCATGTGCTGAGTTGGGAATAATGTGGAGGTAAAGGATATTCAGATAGGAAGCATTAACAAAGTTCCTCTAATTGATCACTAAAAAAACATTTATTAATTGATTAGTAAAAGAAATCTCAATACAAAGCAGCATATTCGGACCTCATTTTAGCAATCAGATCATATGTTAAGCTGATGATAATGTGTTGGTAAAGGATATACAAATAGGGAGCATTACAGCTTGGCTCTGATTGGTCAATAAATTATTGATTAATTGGTAGAGGTCTCAATACAAAGCAGCACCCCTGACCTCATTATTAGCAGTCCGATCATGTGTGAAGCTGAGGATATTCAGATAGGGAGCATTCAAAAGTTTCTCTAATTCATCACTAAAATAATACTTATTGATTAATTTGTAGGAGTCTTAATACAAAACAGCACCCTCTGACCTCATCAGATCACGTGCCAAGCTGACGATCCTATAGAGAGCATTGTTTTTTTTAAAAAAATCCTATAACTGACCACTAAAAAATACTTATTGATGAACTTGTTGGAGTTTCCATGTAGAGCTGCACCCCTAACCTCATAATTAACAATCGGATCGCGTGCTAAACTGAAGAGACTGTAAGGGTAAAGGATATTAAACCTTTACTCAATATCTAAACCTATACTCCATACTCAAAATCTAAACCTATACTCAATATCTAAACCTATACTCTATACTCAAAATCTAAACCTATACTCAATATCTGAACCCATACTCTATACTCAATATCTAAACCTATACTCAATATCTAAACCTATGCTCTATACTCAATCTCTAAACCTGTACTCAATATCTAAACCTATGCTCTATACTCAATCTCTAAACCAGTACTCAATATCTAAACCTATACTCAATATCTAAACCTATACTCCATACTCAAAATCTAAACCTATACTCAATATCTAAACCTATACTCTATACTCAAAATCTAAACCTATACTCAATATCTGAACCCATACTCTATACTCAATATCTAAACCTATACTCAAAATCTAAACCTATACTCAATATCTAAACCTATGCTCTATACTCAATCTCTAAACCTGTACTCAATATCTAAACCTATACTCAATATCTGAACCTATACTCTATGCTCAATCTCTAAACCTATACTCAATATCTGAACCTATACTCTATACTCAATCTCTAAACCTATACTCAATATCTGAACCTATACTCAATATCTGAACCTATACTCTATACTCAATCTCTAAACCTATACTCAATCTCTAAACCTATACTCAATATCTGAACCTATGCTCTATACTCAATCTCTAAACCTATACTCAATATCTGAACCTATTGCTCTATACTCAATCTCTAAACCTATACTCAATATCTAAACCTATACTCACTATCTGAACCTATGGTCTATACTCAATCTCTAAACCTGTACTCAATCTCTAAACCTATACTCAATATCTGAACCTATGCTCTATACTCAATCTCTAAACCTATACTCCATATCTAAACCCATGCTCTATACTCAATCTCTAAACCTATACTCCATATCTAAACCCATGCTCTAAACTCAATCTCTAAACCTATACTCATTTGTAATAGAACCCTGCCATCAGGGCCGGATTGACATCATTAGACTTTGTAAGCACACAAGTTTTTGGCTACACCCCTCTGCTATGATTACTTTTTTCCACAATGACATTTTTTATTAGAAATAATATTGTGACAAGCTCAGTGCAAAAAGCTAACAAACACAGATAACAATCTGTATTGAAAAAAAAATGACAGTTGTATTCCACCAGGAGATATGAAAATGACAGTCACGTGGCTTAAATAAGAATGATGATCCTTACTGAATTTAAAACAAGTTCTTTAACAACTTTTACTTTTCTAGTGACAATAAAGGGGCTCATTTGCCTCCCATAGGCACAAGGTAAGCCATTCTGTGCTGGGATGTCTAGTGCTTTGCCCATCTATGGCTGAAGCTGAGATCGTTGCTTCTCACATAGGCAATGAGTAAGGATCTATTGAGTAACATGATCAAGCTTAACCCTCTGGTAACCAGAAAAAGTGAGTAGTTAGTGAGATGAGAGCAGATCTTCCATACATGTGAGGGTGAGGAATGCAGAGAGGTATTGATATCAGAGCATGCAGAGCAGTCAGCTTTCATTAGGCAGATGAAAGAGGCAGTAATGGCCCTACATGAAATCAGAGAGCTGCACCGCAGATACACATCGCTATGGCACCGCACCATAGACAATCGACTTACTTGGTGGAGGGGAATATCTGCCTCCTTCCTTCGCCCAGCCTGTACCATCTTCAGAGTTCTCCGATTTCACAGAAGAAGTCTCCAGGTTTTTGGTAAGCCCAGGAGGACTGGGGCTCTCTCTGCTGCCCACCCCCAAACTCAGGTGCCTAGGGGTGCTGCTGGCTCCAGAAGCCTCCAAACCACGTAGATGGGTCACCTCCTTAGGCACCCTCTTATCAGCCATGAGCGCCTCCACGCTGAAAGGCAGGCTGGACACCTTGATCTTGTGCTCGGCTTCAGATGGGGAGTGCATGGGGCGAGCAGAGCCTTCTTCATCAGAGCTGAAGTCCTCCTTGATGATCCTAGGAGAAGAAGACATGGTGACAACGGGGAAAGCTCAGGCAGATCCCCCCCTCTTCGTCCTTCCTTGGCCAGATCCCTGGGATGAAGGTAAGCCCAGCTCTGAGAGCTCCCACTCCACGGGCAACACACTTCAAGGAAACTCCAGAAAACTTTTTTTTTTCCTTTCCTCTATTGAAAGGAGCTCCTCTGACAGCCAACAGGAAACGTCGGGGCCTCGTGACGTCATCGCCGGCCTCTTCTGATTGGCTGAGGCGCTCTCCTTGATGGCAGTGATTTTCGGACTGTTTTTGTTCCAGAGAAGAAGGAGAAGAAGGAGAAGAAGAAGAGAGTTAATTACATAGGCTGCAAACTGCGCTGTGTTATTAGTGATACCTGTAGGGCTGTAATCACAAGAAACTGAAAAGTCACTTGGGTAATTAAGTTTGATTATATGAAGAGGAAGCTCATATAACCAATCTTCTCTTTCTAGTCTCCGCTTTAAAGAGCTCTTTCTTTGTCATGTCTTCATGTGTCTACATGTAAACATTTTCAAGGATCAGCTTGGCGTTTAAGTGATAGAGATACATTTGCTATCTGACTACAAGGAGGCCAATTGGCCTGTGGAGCCTTTGAAGTCAGGGATCTGCCCCAAGATTGCAGAACATCGCATTTTCTGTGTCACTCAGCAATATGCAATCAGCCTCACACTCACACATTACTTCTTTTCCAATCATTCTAGAGGACCCGAGAGTATGTGTCAAAGCAGAAACATTAGGCTTTTTTTTAATACTTTATTGCTTCTCTTTGCTGCTGATCTCCTGCAGCCTCTTTGCAGCCACTGATGAGGATCCGACTTGGAGGCAACTTCCACAGTACACTGCTCAAAAAAAATGAAAAGAACACTTTGAAAACTCATCAGATCTTGGGCGTCCTTTTATCATGCAGCGGGAAAGGACCGCTGCTCAGTTCTCGGAGAAGACAGTTCTCCTCTGAATGCATTTTTATGAAGCGGTGTAGATCATTTCTCCAAATGAAGGGAGAAGCGATCTACAAACGCTTTGAATGCTGGAAAACGGCTGCTTTTACTATAATCTCAGGAGATTACAGTAAGATATCAGTCAGACACCATTTACTAAGCAGCGGTAAATTATCGCTGCTTCGTTTGCGGTTCCTCCGATTCTCCAGCTCTGGGATGGAGAATCTGGAGGGAGAACACAGATCACCAGTGAAGGGCTGACATCACTCCTTCATATACTGGCCATCTGTGTGCTGAGATGATCAGCGGAGAACATGTTCTCCACTGATCATCTCTGTTTCCTAAACCACTAATGATCGGAGATCAGCAACGATCCTCAGGATCGCTGCTGATCTGTTTCATAAAAGGACACCTCAATGGGGAAAAATATCATGCTGGATATCTATACCAGTGTTTCTCAACCTTTTTGCAGTCAAGGCACCCTTTAAAATTATGAACAGTCCCGAGGCACCCTTTAAAATTCTGGACAGTCTTGAGGCACCCCATTCTAAAATGTGAAAAACTATTCTAATAGTTTTATATAACGTAGCAACATCCATATATGTAGGACACCCAACATTAGAAGTGATTTATTCTTCCAAAGCAAATACACCTTTGTACACTGGTACAGAGTAGTATTCCAGTATTTCTCTTCTCCCTCAGTTTTTCTCCATCACTGAGCTAATATGACCCCAGCAGTGATGGAGAGGGCAAGGGGAGGGTCAAACTAGAATGCTGTGCAGGCAGCTGACATCCTCCTTATCAACTGATGATATCATTGGTTGTCAAGACGCCGGCGGCTAGAAGGTAGTAATGGTCCACAATGAAAACCTGAGGCTTTGTGTAACTAAAAGGCAGGCTTGTTCCACCTGTTGGTTTGTATACAAGTTTTGGACAATTTTTAGACATTTTGCCAAGGCACCCCTGAAGAAACCTCAAGGCACACCAGGGTTCCTGGGCACCCTGGTTGAGAAAGGCTGATCTATACTAATATGGACTGGGTAATGTGTTAGGAACGTAAGGATGCCCCATCGTTTGATGGAAATGAAAATTATCAACCTACAGAGGACTAAATTCAAAGACACCCCGAAAATCAAAGTGAAAAAATGATGCAGCAGGTTAGTCCATTTTACTGAAATGTAATTGCAGCAACTCAATATGGTACTCAGTAGTTTGTATGGCCCCACGTGTTTGTATGCATGCCTGACAATGTCGGGGCATGCTCCTAATGAGACAACGGATTTTGTCCTGGACCAGGGCATCACTGAGCTCCTGGACAGTCTAAGGTGCAGTGTCGGATGGATCAAAACATTATATCCTAGAGGTGTTCTATTGGATTTAAGTCAGGCGAGCATGGGGGCTATTCAATGGTATCAATTCCTTCATCCTCCAGGAATTGCCTGCATACTCTCGCCACATGAGGCCGGGCATTGTCCTGCACCAGGAGGAACCCAGGACCCACTGAACCAGCGTAGGGTGTGACAATGGGTACCAGCATTTCATCTCAATACCTAATGGCAGTCAGGGTGCCATTGTCTAGCCTGTAGAGGACTGTGTGTCCCTCCATGGATATGCCTCCCCAGACCATCACTGACCCACCACCAAAACGGTCATGCTGAATGATGTGACAGGCAGCATAACGTTCTCTATGGCTTCTCCAGACCCTTTCACATCCGTCACATGTGCTCAGGGAGAACCTGCTCTCATCTGTGAAAAGCACAGAGTGCCAGTGATGGACCTGCCAATTCTGGTGTTCAATGGCAAATTCCAATCCAGCTCTATGGTGCCAGGCAGTGAGCACAGGGTCCACTAGGCCACCCTCATGAAGTCTGTTTCTGATTGTTTGGTCAAAGACATTCACACCAGTGGCCTGCTGGAGGTCATTTTGTAGGGCTCAGGAAGTGCTCATCCATCCTTTCTTGCACAAAGGAGCACATACCGATCCTGCTGATGGGTTAAGGACCTTCTACAGCCCTGTCCAGCTCTCCTAAAGTAACTGCTTGTCTCCTGGAATCTCCTCAATGCTTTTGAGACTGTGCTGGGAGACACAGTAAACCTTTTGGTAATGGCACATATTGATGTGCCATCGTTGAGGAGTTGGATTGCCTGTAGTGTCCAGGTATCGTCTCATGCTACCAGTAGTGACACTGACCCTAGCCAAAACTAGTGAAACACAGTCAGAAAAGAGGAGTAGGGAAAAAAATGTCAGTGGCTTCCACCTGTAAAACCATTCCTGTTTTGGGGGTCATCTCACTCTTGCCCACCGAGTGCACCTGTTGTTAATTTCATTAACACCAAAGCAGCTGAAATTGATTAACAAGCCCCTCTGCTACTTAACTGATCAGATCAATATCCCGGGAGTTTAATTGACTTGATGCTATACTCTGATTAAAAAGTGTTCCTTTAATTTTTTTGAGCACTGTATATGGGCACAAATCAGATAGAAGTAGCCTTGAAGTACTACAGAAACCTTTCTAAACTTGGAGCAACTTCAGTAGTGCTCCCGTTATATTGTAAAGCGCTGAGCAAACTGTTGGAACTATATATAAATCCTGTATAATAATTTATTTCAGGTACTTATATAGCGCCGTCAATTTACGCAGTGCTTTACATATATACTGTACATTCACATCAGTCCCTAACTCTTAAGGGCGTACAATCTAAGGTCCCTAACTCACATTCATACATACACATACTAGGAACAATTTAGACAGGATCCAAGTAACCTACCTGCATGTCTTTGGCATGTGAGAGGAAACCGGAGTACCTGGAGGAAACCCACGCAGGCACAGGGAGAACATGCAAACTCCAGGCAGGTGGTGCCATGGTCGGGATTTGAACCAACGACCTGAGTACTGCCAGACGGAAGCGCTAACCACTAAGCCACTGTGCAAACTGTTGGCACTATATATAAATCCTGTATAATAATAATAATTAAGACAGCTCTCATTGACTAACATGAGATTTCACAAGTCATGCGACTTGAGGGTCTCACAAGTTGGATCCCAAGTTGCGGTACTTTTTGGGTGGAACTCAGCTTTAACCTCTTAGCGCCAGCACCTCCTAGCCTTTAAGAGTTTCAGAAGGTTGGAGGTGGGCGGGTTTTAGGGTCATGTGACCACCACGATTCGCTGTCACGGCTGTCACACGGCTGTCACATGATCGGAAAAGGTCCCAATCGAAAGTGGAGATCGGGACCTTTCAGTGAGTCATGGACATACATGCTGGAATGCGCAGGGCACTCACTCTCAGCACATATGTATTTTTTTAACTGCATGCAAATATGCAGCCGCTCGCATCAAGGCCCAGACGCCGAGAGGCCGCATATTTGCGTGCGCTCAGCGTCAAGGGGTTAAACTACTAGAAGCTATTGTAAGCATTTTTTTCTGCTCCTAGAAGCTAATAGTGTTATCCTATGTGTCCATGCACACTGCTTTATGCTAGAAGGCTCCATGCACACTGGAATGGTTTTCTACTGGCAACAGAAAGTGCTAAACGAGGCAAAAATGCACATAAACTCGGTACTGCATTTAGAGCTTGGGTGTTAAATTTTATTTATTTATTACCGGTACTTATATAGCGCTGTCAATTTATGCAGAGATTTACATATATATTGTACATTCACATCAGTCCCTAACCCTCAAAGGGTGTACAATCTAAGATCCCTATCTTACATTCATGCATACACATACTAGGGCCAATTTAGACAGGAGCCAATTAACCTACCAGCATGTCTTTGGAGGGTGGAAAGAAACCCACGCAGGCACTGGGAGAACATGCAAACTCCAGGCAGGTGGTGCTGTGGTTGGGATTTGAACCAATGACCTTAGTAATGCCAGGCGGAAGTGCCAACCATTTAGCCACTGTGCTGCCCGTGAATTAATTTC